CACCTCGGTTCTGCTCCCTTGAGTTCCAGGGTTGAGACCCTGGCTCAGACGTTTCTCCATCCCACTCTGTAGATCCTCAGAGACAGCACCGCCCGGAGAAGCAGCTTAGCACTTTCTACCTCTAGAGCTTCTTGGCAATGAGCTCTCAGTGGCTTCCGCCTCTGCTGGAGGGGCTGGGACACGCATTGGCACATCTCCGCAGCACACATGAGCTCAGGGACGGTGGCGGCTGGGTCCCAGTGCTGTGCAGCAGATGCAGTCTCAAGGGAGGATCATTGTGACAAGTGACCCTCCAGGCCCTGAGTCAGCGAGGAAGCCGGCGGAGTCCCTGTTACCACACAAGACCTCCCCTGGTGGGCTTCGGCTTCGCTGTCTCTCATGTTTCTCTTTTCCATCCAAATTCTACAAACAGCTCCCAGAAGAAGACAGGCTGAAGTCCAGCCCCGAGGGAGGCAAGTCAGCCTAGTACTGGTCCCAAGTTCCTCCAAGGCTGTTGTCCACGTCCAAGGACAAGAGGGGATGCGGAGCTGGGAGGTTACACGGTGGAAGCCATCCTGGCCCGGCACACGTTGCTTCCCACCGTCTCAGGGGAGGGCGGGAGGTCACAGGGATTAAGAACAGTTCCCAAGTTGGTTTGAAATGTTTTCCAAACATCTCCACTGAATGCTCCTCATTTCAATGTAGGTCTCAAATTCAGCTGGCCTTAAATCTTTCTTCACTCAAAACCCACATCAAAGACCCAATCTTCAGTTCCCTGGGCGTTTCAAGGTGTCGTTTTTCTAGAAAGTTCTGTGCATCCTTCATTCTGAGGTTTGTATTCTCAAAAGTGCTCTCTGGCAGGGCAAATCCTAGAAACTGTTTGCCACAGAAAGAACGGGGAGAGAAGCAGTAAGGCTAGTTCTGTGCGGTAACCTGCTAAAGCAGTGGGTAGCAGCCGTCAACCTGCCCGGGTCCTGCTTACACACCTGGCCTCCAGCCCTCACACAAACTCCAAACACTGGCTTGTTTCTTTTTTTTCCAGCTAGCAGCTCTTCTCAGGCTTTGCCCACCCCCCATTCCAGCCTCCACTTAGCACCCATTTAGAGCACAAATATTAGCCACCCTTGCCGGGACCCATAGCACAGCTCCATCCACAAGGGGGCGTCGTTTCTCCTGGTCTTACCGTTTGCCCTCTGCCTGGGCACACGCCCCACTCCTGCCTCTTGTCCTCTGCCCAGGGATCCCAACAATGCTGTTTATATGATATGAGTGTAAAAGCCTGGCATAGTGGATAGCCATGAGTTTGAAGTCAGCCTGTGCTAGCTCGTGAGTTCAAGGCCAGCCTGGGGTATATAGGGAGACCTTGTCTCAGGAAACCAAAAAGAATGTAAAATGGCTAGCTCAGCTGTTCCTGCCTATCAGGAAGCCCCTTCTCTCCATCTGTCCATTTGGCTTTTTTTGATGGTACTGGGGTCAAACCTAGGTAGGGCCTTAGGCACGCTCGGCAAGCAAGCAACCTACCACCGAGCTATATCCCCAGCCCTTTTGATTTTGAGTTAGAGTCTCCATAAGTTTCCCTGCCTGGCCTTGAGTTTGCAATCCTCCTGCCTCAGCCTCCAGAGCAGCTGGGATTACAGGTGTGCACCACCTACTTGGCCTCTTCCTGGCTTCTTAAGGGAGCCAGGCCTTTAATGCTGCCAGGCCCACTTGCATCTATGTGGAGCCGCCCATTACAGATCAAGCAGGCCTGAACTCTTCTGCACACAGCAAGCTGAATGCTCCCTGGAAGGGGCCGGAAGCCTTCCGGAAAAGTCCCTGGGTTTGCTTTTGGAAGCCTAAGATAAGATCTTGGCAAAGCAGACCATCTGAAGGCCAGACACCGTCTCTGCACAGAACACAGGGAAAAGAGAGAACTGCAGCCAGAGAGGCTAAGGGGCTGGCCTCAGGCCGCACAGCCAGCAGGTCAGAAGGGGACTTGGACCTCAGCTTTGCTACTGTGCTGTTGTGATGGAACAAGGAGCAGGTATCGGGCCCTCACCCCTGGCTCCGGGTCAGAGCTCCTAAGGCTCTTGTGTCTACCTACATGGTAGAAGAGACAGGAGCATCTTTTGTTATGTGTGTTTTTGTCCCTGGCTCCTGAAATAGCACCTGAACATCTTTGCTTCTAGCCACCCCTGAGTCCCTGTTAACGAGGTGACTTTTGGAAAGCTTCCTCAGGTAGGGGGCTGTTTGCCAATGGAACCACCCATGGGATGAGAAGGTTGGAACGTCCAGCCAGCCCTCAATGTCCAGTAAGTGTCCAATCACCAAAGGCCAACAGTTTATGTTGTTGTGCTTATGTAATGAAGTCTCCACAGCAGCTCAAAGGAAAGGGCTGGATGACCTTCTAGGCTCAGAGCACAGGGAGGTGCTAGGGTGGGGTGTGCCTGCACCCCTTCCCATACCATGCCCGGTGCACACTGCCCCTGGCTGTGCCTGAGTTCTGTGAGCTGTTCTAGCAAACAACTGAACCCAATGAAGGGGATATGGGAGCCCCTAATCTACAGCTGGCCAATCAGCAGTCCTGGGGGCCCAGACTAGCGAGTGGATGGGAAGGAGGGGCAGCCCTGTCTGCGCCACCCCAAGGTGGACAGAGCTGAGTCTGAGCTCTGCCTGGTGCTCCTCCCTGTGAATAGACAGCTGGTCGCTTCTGGTGTCCAGAGCCTAACACCTGACCAGTGTGAGGCTTCCTCTCTACCCCTGGGTCTTGGTGTTAGTTTCAAACACCCCAAATCTGCTGTGCCAGCTCTGTGGAGTTATCAGAGGTCACTCTTTGCCCAGACTTGTTCTCCTCACCCAGGATGCCTTCACTGTCCACATCCACCTGCTGGACCAACTCTGCCCTTAGGACATGGCTCTGACTTTGTCCCTATAGCCTGTCCACACTCCCGTGACCGTCTCTTCCTACCTGCTGCCCAAGAAATGAATGAACCAACGCTCTCTACCCTAAATGCTTCCCTTCCATCCACCCAGCTACATTTTCTTCAGAAGAGGGAGGCCAGTTTCCGCTTCCTTTGCGTGCCCCTCAGGCTCTGTGGCCTCTGCCTCTCCTAGCAGCTCTGACAGCCCCTGTGCACTTGGATCCCTGCTCTCCCTAGAGTTTGCTCTGCTCAGTTTCAATTTGTTCCCAACATTATCTCATTGGCCACTGTCCTGAACTCCTGTTTTCTGTCTCTCTGCTGTCTCCCCATTATGCTGTGGTTTTTGCCTCAGGACAATCTTCCAGAGTGAATTCTGTGTCTGTGTGGTTTTTTTTCAGTCAGTAGATATAAACTTTGTGGGGGGGAATCGTTGAAAAGCCCTTTTCCATTTCCATATTCAAGGGGTGACTGAAAAGTACAGCGAATGTTAAACTTTAAAAAGTTACCACCCTAAAAGACATAGTTGCCATTAATCCTCCTCAAATACTCCTTCTTGCTTTGAACACACTCATCCCATCGTTCTTGCCACTTTCTGAAGCAGCTCTGGAAATCCTCTTTCGTGAGAGTCTTTATTAAGTATGATAAAAAATACGGTGAGTGCTGCTGCCGAGCGCCACCCAAAGGAAAGGCAGGCTGGTGAAAACAGTATTCTGTGTCCCGTCCACCTCATCTACTGGATCTGGCACCGTGCAACTTCTGGCTCTTCCCCAAAGTCAAAATGACCCCAGAAGGTAAACGTTTTGAATCCATTCAGGACCTTGAAGCAGCCATGGCAGCACAGCTAAAGACACTCGCAAAAGAGGACTTGCAGACCTGCTTCAGAAAGTGGCAAGCACAGTAGGATAAGGGTGTTGAAAGTGAGGGGAGGATTTCAAGGGGGATTCATGACAACTGTCTGTCTCTTAGTATAATAAAAATCTTGTAAAATTTATACATTCAATGTATTTTTAAATCACATCTCGCATACTTTTGTGTTTGCATCTGCCGAGCCATTACTAGAGACCGTAAGAGTGAAGACAGACATCAATTGAGCAAATGCACACAGGAGTGAACACTACCTGACGCATGCAGGTGCCTTGGCATCCACGGGCTCAGCCTGTTACACACCCAGGAAGTGTGTGAAGAGCATACGGGCTGGGAAGGCTTCTCTGGGAAATCTCCTTCAGCCCAGCTCAGGGCCACAGAAGAGGATGAGGGCAGCCAAGGCCACTGAGGAACAGCAAACTGACACAGAGAAGAGTACTTTAAAAGCAGCAGGAATCGCTAAGGAAGAAATTAGCACCTTCCTCCTAAACTCTCGGCATAGACAAAGCAGGACATGAAGACTCCGGCTGAACGAAAGAGAATCAGAGACAGTGGTGAAAGAGGGGAGAGTGTGGGCCCAGGCCACGTGATCTGGTTTGTCCTGGTTCTGTCTCTTAGGATCCCTGGCAACCGCCGGCAGATTCCTCACCCTCTCTACTCGCAGCCTCCTCGTGTTCCTACCTTGGACGTAACCATGTAAAAGATGACTTGCCGTGAGAGCTAAGGGACGCGATGGCTGCAGGAGCCAAGCTTCTCAGCATCTCAGCACAAGCGGGAGTTCGTAGTGCGGTATTATGGGAACACTCAATTCCTTACAGGTGCGGCTTACTCCTAGAGCATGCCATTGCTGGGGTGTCCAAGGTCTATGAGAAATTGTGGTTAAATAAAGAAATACTACTTGTACATGAAGGGTGCAGGGTCCCTGTGCCTCCAGGCCTGAGATAAGGCTCATTTTTGGTGTGACAATTATCCCAACAAATTCCCCGGGCAGGGTTGGGAGAACATGAGTTTGCAAACCCCAAGAATTCTCAGTGCCTCCTTCACTCTAAAACAGAGCTAGAAACATCTCAACAGCTCTAGGGATAATGCTCTAGAGCTCCCTCCTTGATTATTTATTTTAAACTTATGCTATATGTTAGAGTGCACACCAGGGCCCCATCCCTGAACTCCCCTAAATATATACAAAGTATTCAACATTTTCAAGCTTTCTGAGCTTCCAAGGATAACTGTCAACAACACTGGCTTTGAATTCACCCTTCTATCATCTGCATATTTTTTCCATGTGAAACCAAATTGAGAATTTTTTTAAACAATCCAAATGTGTTTTCCTGCTTTAAATTCATGCCATGGGATTTAAACAAAACTAGATACTTTACTTACGCTCTCGCTGCAAGATGCTATTTATTTTTCCTGCAAATGGACCATATATCATGGTAAAATAAATGTCCTTCCCTCTTTAGATGTGTATGTGGAGCTTTTTAATTTTTTTTTTTTCCTGGCCAAACTTCCAAAAGCCAAACATCTAATGAAATGACTGATATTGCCCTGGCTGGGGGTGGAAGGAGCTTTTCTTCTCACCAAGCAGACCTCAAGGATGTGGAATGCAGGCCCAGCTTGGCCACGATCTAAAAGGGGGAAGGTGACCTCGGGATTCCTCCGCCTCTCTGTTCTTGGTCTCTGCTCAGTGAGCTTGGTGGGGTGGGATGAGGTTGGGCAAGGGAGAGGAACTATATCTGTAACCCATCCAAACCCCCAAATACTATGGCTCCAGATCAAAACATGGGTAAACAGTGGCAAGATTTTTGTTCTGAAATTTTTTTCAATATTGACTTAAAACACACAGATCCCTAGAGGATTTCTTTGTCACATCCTCCCCAGAGGAAAACCTCCTGCCCTCCTCCCATGGGACAGGGGGCTGTCTTGCTTCTGTTACCGACACCTTCAATGTAGAAACAGGCCCATCTGCTGGAATTTCAGGGTTTGGGTCTACAGGCAGGCACTGGAGGCATCAAGCAAAAGCTGGTGACCACAGCGGACCCTAGTTAGTGGTGCCTCACACACAGAACCGGCTTTTGGAGGAAGACAGCTCCCTCCTGGTGCTGAGAACATTCTCTTTCCACATGAAGGATCCCATGGTGGGGCTGCCCAGGCCCCAGGATGACTAAGAAAGCCCAGAAGAGGGCACCACGTTCGTCAGCATTTCCACACTTCCTTGAAAGATGAGCCCTGGGCCTCTCCTCCGAGCCCGGGTCTCAGGGATATACTTAACACCTCTGGGACAGGATGGCCTTGGGAACTCAGTGGGAATCTGAACGCCGCTGAGGTTGGCGTTGTCCAGGCAGGCTGGGTAGCAGCGGCTGTGGGAAGGAACCTGACATGGGACAGATCCAGACTTCAGCCTTGAACCTCGAGGCCATGGATCCCACAGAGCCTTCATCTGCATCCAGAGCTGGCAGCCATGCAGGAACCACAGGGTGGTTTTAAGGAGCCCAGCCCCACTTTTCAAGAACCCACTGTCCAACACCCAGGGGATGAATCAGGGAACCCAGGGTTCAGTTCCACCTCTGCCCCACATAATAACACAGAGAAGTCTGTCCTCCCTTTGAGTCTGGATGGCAGGGAAGGTGAGGATGGCCTTCGGGTTTGCTGATCCATGATTCTAGGGGTCCCAACTTCCTCCCACTGGGAACAGCTTCCAGTCAATGAGCTGTCATTGCTTAGCCCCTCACCTTCCAGTTCCATTTTTAAGGTCCTGGAAGGGAAAGCTCAGAGCTTTGTGTGAGCCCCGGGCTCTCTGAGCTCTGGGCTCCCCAAAGGGTGGAGTCCCCTCAAGGCCCCTGAGAGGGGCATCCAGAGCTGATGTCAGCCTCTGGCAGTGCAGCCAGCAGGCCCAAGAGCCAAATAACAGGGTGCCCTTGTCTAGGTCTCCTCCCCCAGGGAGCCCCACACCCCTGGTCTCTGGCTCCCACCTGCCTACACTGTGCTCCCACCTCAGAGCCCAATCACATCTGCCAGAGAAGCCAGGTAAGTCACGGCAGAGCATCCGTAGTGCATGGTCTCTGGGCTGGCTCCCCTTCTGGCTCTTCGGTCAGCCTAAGGCAGCAGTGCAGGGAGTTCCTGACAAGACCCTCTGGTATGTGGGCAGCCTCTCTAAAGGTCGCCTTTCTACACAGTCCCTCCCTTACTGCCCAGCCCATTTGGAGTTGTTTATTTCTCAGAGCTAAATGCCACGATCCTTCTCCGCTACCTTGGCAGCGGCCTATCGGGAGCAGTCACCCCACCCAAAGACACGTCCAGGGCCCCGCCCTTTAGGGAGCCCAGTTGGGGTCCAGCTTGTGACTTTGCTGCGGTTCCACAGGTGCCCTCCCAGGCCTAAGCCTCCGGGAGTCAAGGCTGGAACACAGACACCAAGGAAGTAGTGATCTGCTCAGACCCTCATGTGCTACAAGCCAGCAGTGAGACATGCCAGGTGTTTTGCTTCAGGCTCAAAATTGGGTATAAAAGGCTATTCACTCTTCCCCAGCAACCTCTGCAAGATGCCACATATAGCCCTCTGGGGAGAACATGCCCTGGAGAAGCTGCCACCACTAGATAATCCAGTGCCTCTCGCACCCCTTTCAGCATGGACCTTGGCAGAGTGCATTCAGGCCACACTGGGTGGGCTGCCAGGCACCCAGCTGCCCGTCCTTTCGGGAGGGAGAAAATGGGAGAGATTCCACCTGGTCTCGTGTAACTTCCGGGGAAGGCAGGCATTTTAGCAAAGTGAGTAACAGCATTTGAGCACACAGCTCTGGTGACCTGAGGAAGTGTGTCTGAATTGGTGTAGGACCTGGAATGGTAATAACACTCACTGAGTCCTAAGCCCATGTCCAGACACTGTATTAAGTACTTTACATGGATCAGCTCATTTAATTCTCACTGTGACCTGAGGAGATAAGAACTCTTCTTGGCCCCATTTTATGGATGAGAAATGGGAGGCATGGAGATTATACATCACCAGCCGGTGAGGCAGTCAGGAGGAGACCTCCAGATCCTGCCACACACCACAGGCTGATGCCATTTCACAACAGTTGCCTGTGTCCCTGGGATCTGTCAATATTTCCTGAAGAATCAGCAGAACCCTAAGAAAGGGAAGATCGCCGTTTCACACTGGAGCCGAATGCATGGCTGTGGCCCCTGCACTGGCAGCCTCTCAGGGCTGCATGGACAACTGGTCCACCCGTGTCCACATAGCACCTGGTGACCCCGCAGAACCTCCTTACTGGCGTCTCCCGCTCTGTCTCCTCGCTCTCCCTTCTCTCCTTTTGGACCTCGGTCACCTAAAACACAGGAGGAACAGTGGCATTAGAAGTAGAAATAAATTCTAATTGTTAATTAAGCCATATCTGCAGACCATTAACCCCAGGCTGGAGAAACCCTCAGGCAGGAGCCAGCAGCAACCAGGGAGCACAGCCGGCAAGAGAAGAGCTCCACCAACTGTGCCACTGCTCTGGTCACCCCAGGAAAGAGGAGGGGCCCAGCTGAAAAAATTCTCATCTCCTACAGCACGGAAGAGCAGCATCTGCCATCTAACCTCAAAGAGCACATGGAACTCAGCAGGAAGATGACGAAGCAAAGATACTGCTATTCAACAGCCCATGTTTCACAAGTCCACACCCAAGTTTGTTCCAGTGAGCACAAGGGAAGAAACGGGGTGGGCTTCAATCATATAGGAAGAGGCAGGGGTTATATGCCAGGCAGATTTTCTGGTGGGGCAGACTGTAAAGCATGAGTGAGAGTTTCCAAGGAATTATGGAATTTCCTTCCCAGGATATGGTTAGAAGAACAGAGCTTGTTTCCCAGCTGGCTTCTCACTCTACAAAGTAGAAAATCCTGGCACCACTTGGGAATTCTATTCTAAGGATCTCCAGAAAACCATCTGCCAAGCAAAAGCCTGCAGCATACAATGGGTGAAAAATGCAAGTCAGAAATTTCTAGAAGAGAATGCCTAGCATGAGCCTAGGTTTGAAAAAAAATCCTCATATATGTATATAAATCTATTCAGAGAAAGGTCTAGCAGGATGTTCTCCAAAGAGTTTGCAGTTGTTATTCTAAAGAGTATGAACCAGGGCCAGGGATTTAGCTCAGTGGTTCTGCCACCTGACTCGCAAGCACAAGGACCCAAGTTTTATCTCTGGTACAAAAAAAAAAGTATGAGTTGAAAGGACTGAGGAGGAAAGGACTTCTGCTTTACTCTGTACAAAGACACAAAGTGAGAATGATTAGCAAAAGTGTTTTCTGAGTTGTCATTGTAATAAGAGAAGAATAGGATGCTTGGAGATAGAGCACTGGGTATCCTTGTCTTGTGCAGTGATGAAAGGAGGTCCAGTGGTCTCGAAAGAAAATGGAAGAACAGGAACTGACTGAGCAGATTCCCCTAAAAATGAACATGGCACTATCCACAGGAAGAAAAAAAATCAGAAAAAACACTGTCAGTCACATAAGACCGAGAAGCGCATTAAAGTTGCAAATACTGGGGGACGTGCAGTATTGAAGAGAAGAGGAGGAATCTGGCAGTAAATGGGAGGAGGGAGCTCTGCATTTGTCCTGGGGACCCCCTTGCTGCCTTCCTGGGGTAACCGCTCTGGATCGAAGCCCACAGTGACACCTCCTTGTGTCTCCAGAAAGAGTCTGAAGACCTTTTCACACCTGAACACTCTCTCCTCACAACAGCCCCAGGGAGCCTGGCAGCTCGAGGGCTGCTAGATTGGGTTGGAAAACTGAGGCTTAGTGGGGTGAAGACACCGGCCCTGTCGCTCCCAGGCAGAGACACGATGGGCCCTCAGGTGCACCCACCCAGCTCCTACACGCTGCCCACGGGTGCAGTGAGATTGGTCATTACCTTTGAACCCACGCAAGCCCATCGGGCCAGTGGCCCCCAGCTTGCCGTCGTCACCCTTGGGGCCAGGCAGTCCCGGGGTGCCCCGATCACCTGGCAGACCTGGGGGAAGAAGAGACGCTTGTGGAGCTTCAGATTCAGGCCTCCGGGGTCCGGAGAGGTCGCTGGTGCAGTGACCACCACAACTGCGCATCCTGCATCGCTACGCTTCCCGAGTCTTCTTAGTTAACCTAGAGCTTCCCTCTTTCATCCATTAGGCTTGGATCCCTCCCTGCTGAAAGGCCCGGCTCTTGTGAACAACGATGGTGGTACCAACCCCACTCTGTACTGCTGGAGGTTTAGATTCGGCAAACATGTTTGGAGCTCTTTCTGCGTGTCAGGCCTAAAGAACCTCACTGAATCACTGCACCAAACTGGGAGCTATTATTTTACCTGTACTACCTGTGAGGCAACCAAGGCCCAGAGCAGTTAAGTAACCTGCCCAAGGGCACACAGCCAAGAGTGCTGGAGGATCCGAGCTTCCTGAGCATAGACATCATGGTCTATCTGCCTCACCTCCTGCTGGATCAAAGAGGCCTACTGGTCCTTAGGGAGGCAGGGTGGGGATGGCCATAGCGAGTAGGGGGAAATGATGTAGTGCTCCTTTCTATGCAAAGAAAGAACGTGCAAAGGGCACTGGAGGTGCAGAAGGGTGAGGAAGCCATAAGGTCAGTAAGTGACGCATGGCCTGCTGCCTGATCGGGCCCGGGCTCCTGGCCACAAGGCCGATGGCCGCGGCCAGCGCTGATTGCACCATGGGGAGGCAAGACCAACAGATGCTTTCGCCAAGCGAGAGCCCAGGCTTCCCGGGGGCCCTGGCCTCCGCCCACACTTATCTCTGCGAGGCAGTGTGCCCTGTATCTACTAATTGTCCTCCCCCACTTGGAAAGCTGGCTGGCCTGGCCGTCTCCGGCTTCTTTTCAGGGGACCTGAGAAACGCCTCATGATTATTCCTCCACGCCCAGTCCCACCGCCAGAAGGGAAGCGGGGCCTCCAGGCTGTGGGAGGGCCACAGAGAGGGTGACGGATTTTCCTCTTTTCCCTTCCTATTGGGAGGTGACTGCTCCCAGAGTGCGGTGGTCCTGGGGCCACAGAAGTCTGGTGCTAATGCAGGATGTGCCTAAAGCTCCCACCCTACGATTCCTTGGGTGGAATAAGAGGGTACGAAGCACCCCTTAACCGAGTTATCAGAGCCCCTCTGAGAGAGGCAGCTGGAGTCCCGGCCGGGCTGGGGCTCTCCATCCTGGTCCTCGGGCTCTGCCTCCTCTCCTCCTTGGAGATGTAGGTGGTGTGGCTCCTAAAATAAGCTCCCAGACCCCATTCCCGCTACATTTCCCCTCTGTCCACCACTCCGAAGTCTCAGAAAAATGCTGCAGGTGGTACAGGCCCAGGAATGGGCAGACCCTGCAGGAACAGAGCAGGAACTTCAGATAACTGAGCCTAAGGACAGCACAGTCTTTCTAGAAGGTCCCGAAGCGCCCCCACTGGGTCTGCAGGCTGTCACCGTGTGGCAGGACGGACAGGGCTGTGACTCGCAACGTTACCTCGGAGTCCGGGTATTCCAGGGATGCCAGTCTTGCCTTCCTTGCCTTCATCTCCCCGGTCGCCTTTGGGTCCCGGTGGCCCTGGAAAGTGAAACCCGCACCAAGGTTAGAGAGCTGCCTTCGGAGCGGGGTGAGGAAGCAAACACTCTGTGTCTCTGACCAGAGGAAGGGTCCCCTTGATGATGCTTTGGAAACCCACAAGATGTCATTGCTGCCTAGCAATGTCTTGGGGACATAAGGGAAGGCTTTGCAAGTGCTGTCTCACGGAGAAACCGGAGTTGGCTATGCATATGTGCACATGTATGTGTGTGTGATGAATGCAGCACCTGTGTCCCCCGGATCCATAAGCTGAAGTCTTCCACAGTGGAGCAGTTTAGGAGATGGGGCCACAGGCAGGGGATTAGGGTTAGATGAGGTCATGAGGGTGGAGTCCTTGAGATGGGATTAGTGGCTTCGCCAGAGACATCAGAGAGCTTGTGCGCACACACACACACACACACACACACACACACACACACGGTAGTGCCTGCAAACCAGGAAGGAAGCCCTTTCCTGAACCCTGACTTCCAGCCTCCAAACCAGAAACAAATGCCTGTGGTGCTTTGTTACGGTAGTGGCAGCAGTGAGTGATGACTAAGCCAGGGTGAAAGGGAAAGTCCTGGCAAGGGGAGAAATCCCAGAAGACAGAGCTATGGAAGCCCACATGGGACAAATAGCTGGTAGGGGAGGTGGGGTGGGATAGTGTTGGTCTTGGAGTCCCAGCCTAAGCACTCACTTGACCCGGACTAAGTGCCCCAGAAGCCACAGGAGGGGCCCAGAGAAGAGTCCCATCCAATCTACACATGAGGCTTCACTGTGGAAAGCAGATCAGAGTGGGAGGGAGGTGGGGCTGCAGACTGTCCAGGTGGGAGGCGATGGAGGCCTGTGTCAGGGAAATGGCCATCAAGGGGACATCAGGGACAGAAGAGCCAGCCCTTGGTTCCCATCACTGAAGGCCACAAGGAGGAGGTGGGCACACACTCAGACCTCTACTAGGCATGGGGGACAGGGCAGTTTCTACCTGCTCCTGAGTGGGGCTGCCTTTCAGGGCATGTGACTGGACTAGGTCTATCTGGCACACCCTTTCCAGAACTTTCTACCACTGGCTGACAAGCCCACGATCCCCTCTGTGAAACTCCTATCGCTATCAACCCTCAAAGCTGGTCATCCTGGTGACACAAGCTGTGACCCCTCATTCCTGCTGAAGTGGGCATGACCTGTCATGAAGCCTCAGGGGCCTGGGGCTTGGTGACATGCCCCATCCTGTGGGCAAGTAGAAGTTTTTCTCCACCCCCACAGGGGCCAGCCAGCTTCCTGAGGTAGGACTACATCCTTTAGAACCTCGTCCCAAAGCTTCTCTCCTGCTGCTCTGTGAGAGAAACTGTGCAGGGTAAACAGCTCCCACGTCCTTCACATCCACTGGGAACCGCCTCACTCTTGTCAGGAAATAGGGTCTTTGCAGATATGATTAGCCAGGCTGAGGTCATGCTGGAGTGAGGTGGGCCCTAGTCCACTGACTGGCATGCTCATAAGAAAAGAAAACAGAGATGCGAGAACAGCATGTGACCACAGAGGCAGAGATTGGAGCGATGCGACCGTAAGCCAAGGAATCAAGCATTGCCAGCAGCCCCCAGAAGCCAGGAGGAGGCCAGGTTTCACAGCGCTTTCCCAGGCGCAATGGCCATAGACACCTTGATTTCAGGCTTGCAGCCTCCAGAACTGGAAGAGAACAAACTTCTATTATTGTAAGCCACCCAGTTTGTGGGGCCTTGCTACAGCATCGCTAGGAAACCAAAACATGTATACTCACAGCATCGTGGTAAGGTCTTGCACAATAAATAGTTGATGAATGAATGAGTATATGAGATCAGAGGATGTTAATACATACAAAACAAGCTGGCCGCCAAGATCGGGATGTACTGACACATTCCAAAAGTTGGCACTGTACTCAGACCCTAACCGAAGTTGTCAGATGTTTAATAACTCAATGGCACATGCACAGGAGAAAATTAATCATGTTTTTTAGCAAAAAAAATTTGCAACTTACATAAAATATTTAAGGAAGGCTGGATTTGTGGCCACCATCCTCTTTTCTTGAAGAAAAGCAAAGTAAGGCTGCCACACTGATTCCACTTTCTAGAACACAGGATTAAGAAGCAGACTCTGTTGAGAACAGGCTGAAGATTATACAGCCAACCATGAAAGGCAGAGCTAAGGTGCAAATGAACTCCATATTCCCCTCCAGCGATTTCCTGTCTGGGTCAGGCAGCAGCAAAGGGAATCCAGAGAGGCTTCCTGGATCTTTGCTGCTGGCCCCTGGCCCTACTAACTAGTCCCTCTCCCTCTGCTCCACCCTCTAGTCTTCCCACAGAGAAGCCTGGACTCTAGGAATTGAGCTGTTCATGGATGCGAGGGGTCATACACTTCACACCGATACAGGTGTGACTCTATTATAGTCTGCATCTGATGTGTCCCCAAAGCCTTGGTTCCCAGCCCATGGCATTATTGTGAAGTGGTGAGCCTTTCTGGAGAAAGGTCATTGGGGGCATGTCCCTGAAGGAGATATTGGAACCACAGTCTCTTCCTCTGTTTCCCAATTGCTATGAGGTGAATGGCTTCCTCCTGTCATGATGGTCTGTTCACCACAGGCCCACAGCAACTATGCAACTAACCATGCACTGAACCCTCCAAAACCATAAGCCAAAACAAACCTCTTTACAAGCCAGTTATCTGAGATATTTTGTCACAGTGATGGAAGACTGGCTAACACAGACCCCAAAGCATGGATCTTCCTGAGAGTGACCCTGGTAAGAGGAAAGTGCTGCCCAGTGGAACCACCCTGATGTGGCTACCAGGGATGGAAAGAATTTGAAAGGTGAGAGATGAATGTGGACACACAACCCCTGGGCTCAGGTCCTGGTCCTATTTAAGGTGGGTAAGAATCCTTTTTTGTGTGTGGCTGTAGCAGGAAGTAAACAGATTCAATGACTTGATGGGTATAGAAGAAATTCTTGACCTTGGGAGTGAGGCTGTCCCTGACCACCTGCACCCTACTTCCCATATGCTTCATCAGAACTATGATCAGATTCCATGGGATTGTTCTAAGGTGCACCCCAAATCACCCTGTTGACTTGGAATGGCTCATCCTGAGAGAGGCAGGGCTAAAAGCATCCCCCACATGGGTATACTTTTTAAACACAAATAAATGGCTAGTGCTGGAGGGTCCTTAGTGGAGATCAACAGGCAGATGTGGGAACCAACAGTGAAGGTGGGTGGTCATCCCAAGCCTCAGTCATAGCTTCAGGCCAGACTGGTCCGGCTGAATCACGAGAGCCCGCAGGATGGCGACAGCTTGTGGGGCCAGGCTGCCTGGCACCCTAGGACAGACACCTCTACAGATCACTGTTGCTACCCTTGGCCATGCACCTTCAGGATCCAACTTCCTACTATGTTTGGAGGGCTGCTGTGTTCTCAGGAACTCAGGCCAGCAATCCCCAGTCTGCTTTGATTTCGCTCTCTTTTGGCCCCCTCGGCTGCCTCTCCCACAACACCTAGCTCTCTGATCTCTTAGGGCTCCATGATCAGAGCCCCTGGCTCTCAGACACAGTTGTGCAAACCCTCTGGCTGCAGCACCTTGAGCCTGGTCAGGCAGCCTCTGCATGCTCACTGGATGCCATCACTCACCTCAGACTGTAGTGCCCAAGGAGGCCAGGGCTATGTGCAGGACGAGTCCCCTCTCTGTGATCCCATGGCTTTACAGGCCTGGCCACTGCAGGGACTGGCAGGGTGACTTTGGGGCAGCTAAGTGATTAGTTGCCCCTGGTGGTACCTGCATGAGTTTTTATACTTCTCCCCTTTGTACACCATCACATGTCTTATCTCTGCCATCCGCCAGGGAAAGACAGGGAGATGAGGTGGCTGGCTAAGGAGGAGCAGGGTGCTAGGGTCCCATCTCAGGGCCAGTCTGCCAGCACAGCTCACACCGTCTCCAGTGTGGTCCTGTCCTGTGAGATGCCACATGGACGCATCTTCTGGCCAGATGAGGACCAGTGACTGAATATCCAGGAGAATCACCAGATTTGTCATGGTGATCAATCAACTCCTGCTTCCTTTCCAAGTCCTAGGACAAGGGGGAGCTGTGTGTTCTGGAAACAGGGGAGTGACCCGCTCAGAACAAGTGATCAGGACATCTGATGACTTGGGCCCAAGGCCAGCACTCTGCTGACCCACATCATACCACAACCCCAGGCTACCCACACTAACCCCAGGCATGCTAACCTCACCCAACTGAGCGTGGAACCCTTCCACTGGCTGCTCTATCGCCAGCTCCCTGAAGTCACAGAGCACTGGACCACAGCGCCTCTCCCGGTACAGTCTGAGAGCTCACTCACACCATCCTTCTGGGTATCTCCCCTCACCCCTGGGAAGCAGGCGGGGCAGCACACCGTTAGCCCATTTTGCAGCCTGGGACACCCAGTCCTAAAAGGTGAGGGACAGCCTTGGCCTCGGGCCTCTGAGCCTCTAGGAAAAGTGGGTGGAGGCAGGGTGCTCATTTCCACAGTGCACCCTCTGCCCACTTTGCAGCAAGGTCGGATGTGGAAGATGAGGGGACAGAGGGCCACACAACCCACTGAGGACCTCACCCAGGCGACATGTCCCAGCCCTCTGCGGAAGAGAAGCTCTGTTCTACTCATCACTCCACTCACAGAGATGCTCATCACCTTCCACAGAATGGATCCCTGCTGACTAGACCCAGAGGCCCAACCTTAGCACCCAGGCTTCAAAACCCCACTTGTACTGGACCACCTGCTCCATTAACTTCCCGCTATACTACCATAGATGGTGTTTTCTTTTCTTTAAAAAAAGCAGCCCCCAGATACACTTGGATGTGTGAAAACTTGCTCATTTCAGGGCCAGTCCACCAGCCCAGCACACATGGTCGCCAGTGCAGTCCTGCCCAGAGTCATCCTCAATGGCAGAACAAGAGGCTGGGGCAAGATACTGTCAAGAACCCCAATTCTGTGATTTTAGAGTCTCACATTGTAACAAAGGGCCATTGGGATTTGCCTGTGGGTGCTTTCCCCGTGGCAGGCCTCCTCTCTCTCTCTCTCTCTCTCTCTCTAGCTAACTTTCTCCCTCCAGTGGGGCCTCCCTTCTCTGATAATCTAGATTCTGGGCTCCTGTGAAATCCACACACAGATTTCAACAGATGTGATTGAGGCTGAAAATCCAAAGCAGGGAACACAAAGTCCCGCTGTGAATGTCCAAAAAAAGACAAACCGAGACAAAATTCACAGAAAACTGCATAACAAAGCGAGAGAATGAAAACTATTTGGGCTAAGCTCAAGAATAATGTAAATATGCTCTTATGTGAAAAATACACATTGCTGAGTATTTGTTGATTCTGAACCAGGAACGGGTCAAGGGTAAGAGTATGGTGTGTTTGTGTGAATGTATGTGTGCATGTAGGTGTGCATGCGTTTGTGTGTGTATGCATGCATGTGTGTGTGTGTGTGTGTGTGTTTAAAGATTTTAAGAGAGAAACTTGGCAAAGTGAGGGAGCAAGACCACTCCAGGCAGGGTATGGACGAGCAGGAAGCTTTTCAGGTAAAACACACCTGTCCAAAAGCCAGGGCAGAGGTCTGCTGACACTGAATGGCGATTACCTTCGATCCTGAGAGGAAAATGGAAAGGGAGAAGATGCCAGATAAAGGACAACACTGAGAGCTGGAAGGGCACAGAGGTGTTCAGCTGCAAGGAGCCAGGAGCCCCAGAGCTACAGTCTGAATGCAGTGTTCTCACCCCAAATTCATGTTTCACAACCTAATACCAAGGTGTGGCTTAGGAGGTGGGGCCTGAGGGAGATTAGGTGAGGAGGGAGGAGCCCTCTTGAGTGGGATCAGAGCCCTTACACAGGAGGCCGCAGAGTCTGTGTCCCTTCCACCATGGGGGACGCAGCAAGAAGGTGCCATCCCTGCTCACAGCTAGGAAGCAGGGTGCCAGTGACGACAACCCGGGTTTCCGAGTTTAGGCCTGTGCTTTACCTCTTGCCTACTTCATGAGACTAGGGTTCCTCATCTACAAAGTGGGGACAATAACGCCCTTTGTGGGATGCGAGGACTAGCGGGCCTGAGAATCTGTTTGGAGAATGAAGGTCTGTGGAATGCCCGGCTCAGTGTAGCTTATAAATCAGGGTGACCTTCTCATTAGCAAGCTTGGAATTGACTTCTATGGGCAGGGGAAGTGGAGGGAAAGATAGGCAAGGCCAAGACTCGGGGCATGGATTCGCATGGAGAAACTGTATCCCATCTTCCTTTGACTTCTGAGACGTGACAGCCCAGAGTGACCGGCCCCAACAACAGGTGGCATCAGGTTTAACAGTAACACTGACCGAGTGTCCCCTGCTCCAGCTGTATCTGCACATTAGCACTCAGGATGCAGAGACGGACCTGTGCACTGCAGGACAGCAAACGAGCACAGGGTATTGGGTTAAAAGTCCTTGTCTGTTCATTGAATTCAGCACTTACAGGGCTGAATTTTACTATGTGCAAATTAGACCTTATTAAATATACTGAGAGCAAAAAAGTCCTGGGTTGCACCATCACCAGCCATACGGCCTTGGTAATTCTCCCTGAGTCCCAGTTGTTTTTTTGCTGCAATCCTGCCGCTGTCTCAGTAGTGACACCTGCTTTAAGCCAAAGTCACAACTTTGTGGTGCAGCCCCAGTTTCAAACAAAACCCTGCACAGGAGAGAGCACCAGAAAGCAGGAAGGACAATTCAAATGGAAGGCTCCAGGTTAGAAGCTCAGGGAAGGGGCGTAGTGTGGGGCAGAGATGAGGCAGCTCGTGGAGGAAGCAGGTTTGGGTTCAGGTTTCGATGCCTGCAGACAGCTCAGTTCATGCTCCCCAGATGGGAGGAGGCAGAAGGGAGCAGGACAGAAGGGAATGTGACAGAAAGCACAGAAGGGCCATGATCAGAGAGGCCAGAGTCCCAATCCGTCCCTGCCCTGTGACCTGGGCAAGCTGTTTAAGCTTCCTGGATCGCATGCCCAGAGCAGAGCAGTGCAGTGGGGACAGGGCACTTCCGGGAGGGGCGCTTCCTCAGGAAGATGGCGTAGGAGACACGCTTGGCGCAGTACCTGCCATAAGCTCGGGGTGACACTGTTGGTGGAGGTTTTAATGGATCCCAGAGGCCATGGGGAGTAGTGGTGGGGTCTGAGCAGGGGGTGATGTGGGGTCAGCGCACCGTGTGAGAGGAGCCCCTGAAAGAACTGTGGAGGGGCTGCTTGGCTGGAGTTTAACATAGGGAATCTATGCACCACCAGTTCTGGACCGGAAGCTGGAGCGCGCCAAAGCCTGCACAGTTTCCCCGTTATATTTCAGAGATAAAACGAAATGAACACACTGTGAGATGAAATATATTCTTCAACCTGGGATGAATACATCCTCCTGACAGCCCAGAAGGCCAGGTCCAAATTCAGGATTCTCCACCATGAGAGCATGGGCCCTGAGGAGCTGTTTCCCAGCCACCCATACACCCCCCACACCTCCTCTCTCCCAGGGAGGCAAGCTCTTGGCAGCCCCAACCCAACACCCAAGCTCTGGCTCCCACCCACTTTGCCACACTTGTCCCCGCACCCACCACAGGGTTCTTACATAGCCCAGGCTGGTCTGCCTCTTGGGGCAATTCTCCTGCCTCAGCCTCCCAGGTGCTGGGATTACAGACACACACCACCATGCCCAGTTACCCTTCTCTTGACTGCATTCTCTGCCCTAGGGAGGTTTACCCAGGAGAGAGATCTGGATAGGCCCTGGAAGCAAGTATGGGTCACACAGGCAGAAAACGTCAGAGTCCTGTGGGACAAGACTTAACAGTCAGTGTATGGGCTCAGACAGACAGGTGTTCCTAGGGATGCCAGGGGCACTTCTGGGCCCTTGGGGAGGGTGGTGGGGGAGGAAGGTGAGAGAGGGCCCTGGGAGCTGGGGGAAGCGGTACCTTTGGCCAGGGAGATGTTGCGCAGGGCGATGGCGTGCTCCCAGTCTTTGAGGCGCAGGTCCTCGGTGACTGCGTTGAGCATGGCCAGCTCCTGCTTCAGCTGCAGCTCCATGCCCAGGTGCACCAGCCGCAGGCGGCGCGTGTCCTCGCTGGCGTTGCTCACCAGCACCTGCAGGTCCTGCAGCCGCGTGCGGTGCAGCGCCACGTCGTAGGACAGGCTGTGGTTGAGGCCGCGCAGCGCACCGCCCACGTCGGCCAGCTCCTCACCCAGGACGCCCACCCTGTGCGCCAGCCCGTCCAGCAGGCCCGCGTGGCGCCCCAGCAGCAGCTGGCTGCGGTTGCTCTCCACCTGCAGCTGGTACAGCTCCAGCTGCACCGAGTCGCTCTGCTGGCCCAGGCGATCACGCAGCAGGGCCACCGCCTGCTCTGTCTGCGCCGCCTGCTCCTGCAGCCCCCACAGCGCACCCTCCAGCCTCTGCACCGCGCCGGCCAGAACCAGCAGCGAGTCCGACTGGTTCTGCAGCGCGTCCTGCACTTTCCAAGCCTGCTCTGTCAGGTCGGCCTGCAGCGGGGCCTGCAGCAGGCGCAGTTGCATGTCCCGGAAGCTCTCGTTCAGCCGGTTCACGTGGCGAGTTAGCGCCTTCAGGTCCTCGGGGGAGCTGCGCGGTCTGGACACTGCGGGTGAGCAGAGGGAGGGGAGCTGTGAGCGCCTCTGGGGAGGGAGGACCAGGCACTGTGCTAAGTGTGAATCCCAAACCTGTCTGTGCAGTAGAACCCTCTGGCTGGGGGTCCCATCTGCAGAAACTGGCAAAAAACGCTTCGTAAGGGTCTCTTTGCCACAGGTAATAACTACATTCGTCGCATCGTGGTCAGTTTCACTCACCCCCTGCCCTCGTCCTGTCTGCCCTCAAATTCCCTTCCCATCCACACAGCCTACCTCCCTGGCTCCTACCATTCCTTTTTTATTCTGCTCTTGAAATTGCTTATATGTTGGGTTTCTCATACAAGAGAACCTTGAGATCTTTATAGCCTTCTGTGTCTGACTTATCTGGCGTGGTTATGAAGACACCAAACAAAGTCTTTCAAAGACTCACATAGGGCTGCTCGTTATTGTTCTGATCTGAGCATCCTCTGCTTGGCAGGTCCCTCGGGAATTTTATATTTTGTACTTTGCAAAGTGGTTGAGTATGAGCAGGTTTCTAGGGTTTAACTTAAAATAGGGGGTGCTGTGATCCCCTTGACTTAGGCAAGTAGTCACCTGCGGTGGTCTGGATGTCTTCCTGCCCCAGTCCATTAGCGGGAACAAATTGCCAAAGTGATACAGGGGCAGTGTTCTCAGGAATGAGCTTTTGCCCTGGTCAGAGGCTCCAGGGAGCTGCTCACCCTTCCTGGCTGCTTGTGAGGACACCGAGGAAACATCCTCGAAGAGAAACAGACCCCACACCAAACCCCGCATCTTTTGGCATTTATCTTGGTCTTCCCACCTCCAGAACTAAGATATAAATTTCTGTCGTTTAGAAGTTACTTATCCAGTCTAAGGCGTTTCACTACTGCATCCCAAATGGACTAAGCCAGCAGCATTATTATCCCTATTTAGTTAGACCTGTGAAGGTTGCCCAGGAAACTGCAGCGAGTGATGGCAACTCAGAGGGCCTGCCCCAGAACTGGGGTTGTGCTGCAAATCTACTCCAGAATGTTCTGAAGGAACAGCATCCAGGCAGCTGGCCCAGCTAGGCTCAAGGCCACACACAGTGTTTATTTTACAGTCTCCTGAGTCCAAGGTCCCATTCCTCCTGCTGCAGCACAGACCCCTTTGAGCAGGTGGGAAATGGTTTTAGATCTATGCCCTCCCTTCTATGGGTCCTCCCACTGCTTCCTCTAGTTCCCTGACTTTAATCCTCAGAAAACAAGCCCTCCCATAGACTCCCCGCCCTTTCCTCTTGGAGAGGGTCCCTTTTCTTGGTTACAAACAGCTGTTTCACAACCCTAGGAGGAGGGAGCTAAGTGCTAGACTCTAGCAGCCCAGTGCCTGCTGGAGTTCAGGGACTGTACATCCCGGGGCTAGGCTGTGTGGGGCTGTGTGTCCCCCGACTCTGCTCTGCACACTAGCAAATGGAAACCAGTAGCTTGGGAGAGGAGGAGGAGAAGGAGGAGGAGGAGGAAGAAGAAGAAGATGAGGCACAGAGGGAATCCGCCTTGGAAATCTTGGAACTCAGTAACTTGGTTACACAGCATGTCCAAGCACAGAATAAGTTCTCTTCTAGAACTTCATGTTGCGGGGGCGAAGCTTCTTGGGGATTTGGGGCCACTTAAAGATCTGTGACTACAGTACCCAGTGATGCTTCTGGAAGGACAGCATTGCAGTGGCCACCCTGCCTGCACAGATGAGCCACCTCAGGAAAGGCTCAGAGGTGCCCAGAGCTCTTTGGAGCCCCAGACCTGGCCCCACCCCAGACCTTAGTCAAAAAGGTCACACTGCTGGATTGGTCACCCGGCCTCTGCTCATGCCGCTTTTGGTTACTTCTGACTGTTGGAACATTTTGCTTCCTGCTCAGTGCGGGCCTGAAATGATCCTCCCTCCCTGCCTTTCCATTCACCGATCTACCCTTTAGGGAGGCAGAGAGCGAGTGAACATGAGTCTTCCCACAAGACACCCTTTCAGTCAAAGAAATTTATGTTCTTGCTGCATGATATGTTGCCTAGTTTAAACTTTGCAGTTCTTTCTTTTATTTTCTCTAAATGAGACCTAGGCTCTGTGTATCATGGCTGACCTCCTCCACCCACATGCTCTAATTGATCAGTATCCTCTGAAAGGTGGTGTTTGGACACGAGGTGGTTTCCCAGGATGTGCAAAGACTGGACGGAGATGGAGGAAGGACCGGCTTATCCTTGGGGCCATCAGAGTCCAGTGAGATGACCCAAACTGGCCCTGTTCAGCTTCATCAGGGCTCTGCAGAGCCAGCCACTGGGTTGGGCCTGCACAGTCCCTGGTGAGCTGGATGTTTCCCCCACTCTACAGATGAAGGGGCTGAGGCCAGGAGGGTGGAGGTGACCTGCTGACAGCCTGCATCCCCTCTCCTGCACCAGGGGCCCCACCACGGCTCCACTCTGGAAGGTCGGCCACAGAGCGGCCAGCCCAAGCAGAGCTTCCGGGGAAATGAGCGGAGGTCCCCCCATCACACTCAGCAGCGTGGGAACTGTCCCCTGCACAGATCACCAGAGGCCAGCACTGGAACCTGACACCAGGGCGTTGCCCATATTCCACCCACACTGGGTGAGAAGTATGAGACAGGGCAGACGCGCAGGGGAAAGATCCATGTCCTCCCCGCAGTCTCTGGAGCCCGGAGACACAGCACAGCCTGTCAGAGGTGGCAGGACACGGAGCAGTGCAGTTCCCGCTCTGAAACGGGGGGCGGGGCGTGGCTAAGGGGCCCATGGGAGCTCCTTGGCTGGAATCACAGCACTGCTTTAAGGCCACAGTTGCCCAGAGGCCAGGGCACGAGAGCCGCCACTCCTGCCCTCCCTGTCTCTCCCCAGCTCCCACTGCTCCCTTCAGGACGTCCTGGGTCACCTGGTCCTGTGCCCTTGGAGGCCCAGGCCCCGCGCATCAGCAGAGCCCTCTCAGCACCGGCCGGCCCCGGTCCTTCCCCCGTCCAGGATCCCGGACTGAGCTGCGTCCACATGGGGACAGCTGACAGTCAGCTTCCCTTCCCGGGACCTCACCCGTGTCCTTCCTTGCTGCTCACTGCACAGCCAGTATTAACAGAACCCCAAAGAAAAGCAGGACAAAGCGTCTCCCGGTCCCACAGCCCCCAACAGGGCACTGGGGTTTGCTCTCCATCGTCTTTCTCTAGCTCCATCCTTTTGCACACGCAGTCTTCACAATCTGATGTCTGATGTTATAAATACTTCACAAGCTTTTTCCCATCCTCCCTATTTTTTTATAATCATAATTGTGATGACTGCGTAAGAGTCCCTCAAGAGGACTCTGAGAAGAAAACGCACGGTTTCCCTCTGGTCTCACTGAACAATCACAGAAGAGTTCTGTGACCATGTGATGCTCTCAGGGCTTCCTCACACACCAAATCCAAACCGGCTGTGCAGCAGACACCAGTGGTGTGTCCCCTGATTCAATTCAGGCACCACTCAGAGACAGTGTCAAGTCCCACAGATTGAGGATCCAGCCACCCACACTTTCACCAGGTTCCCTGGCTGACTGCAGGTTCAGTTTGTTTTGCCCGAGTCTCTGAGAAGCTGCCAAGCGAGGTTCCCACAGAGTCCTCCTTGATTTGGGTTAATATGCAAAAGTCACTCACAGAACTGGGGGAAACACTTAGGCTTAGGGATTTATTATAAAGAACATTACAGAGACAGATGTGAAGGATGAGACAAAGCATAAGGGGCTCGCATACTCTCTGATGTGCCACAATTCAGGAAAGTCCCAGTGCTCCGCTCTCCAGAGCACCTGCAACTCTACGTGTGTGTGTGTGTGTGTGTGTGTAGTATTGAGGATTGAACCCAAGGCCCACACACTGAGCTATGTCCCAGCCCTTTTTATTTTTTATTTTTGAGACCGGATCTTGATAAATCACTGTTGCCCAGGTTGGACTTGAACTTGCAGTTCTCCTGCCTCAGCCTCCCAGAATGCTGGGCTCACAGGGATGTGCCACCACACCAGGGTTCTTTTGGGGGTTTTATGGAAATTTCATTATGCAGGCATGATTATTTAAGTCACTGACCATGTGGACCAACCTCCTGCACTTCTCTTCTTCCCAGATTTGGGGGCCGGGGCTGAAATCTCCAACCCTCTAATTCTGTCTTGATCAGTCCAGAGACCGGCTACCCTCTCCCAAGGCTACCTGGAGTCAAGAGTGCTGGTCATCTTATGAACATACAAAAGACACTTAGCTCTCAAAAGAATATAAGGATTTTAGCAGTTATATGCCAGAAAAAAGGATGAAGACCAAATGCCTGTTTCACAATACCATGGGGATGTGTTGTAAGTTATCCATTCTTTAACTCGTGAACCTCTTATGGTGTCTAAATACAGAAAGTTTTCCTCCTCTTTTGAAATTTTTCCTAACAATAAATTCCGAGAAATTGTATTAGGAGGTCAAAAGGTGTGGACATTTTTATGACTCATAAAAATTCCAGCCAAATTATTTCCCAAAAGTTATACTAATTTATATTTACCTTATAGACTTTCAAATGTCCCCTGCATGGACACACACATACACACACACACACACACACACACACACACACACACACACACGCAATCAGGAATATGCTGAGTGCTGACCACTTCTCAGTATCTCCGTCACCTGATGGGGTTCAAGGAGGTCCCACAAACAGGTGATAGGGACCCCAAGTCACCCCACCCACAGGTAGGTAGATTAGGGTGGTTTTGCTGCTTTTCCTTGTAGAAAAAATTTTCAAGACACATCAGAGATGCATAAAGAGCTCCATATTGAGTCGAGGGTGGCAGGGAGAGGCACATTATGGTCTGGGGTTGGGAGTTTTTAATGTGGTCTTGGGATGCCTTCAAGTTGGGTGATCTAGGATGCATGTTTCTACTATTTGCCAAGCTCCCATTTGGTGGGCTAGGTTAGGACACAAGTCATGTATTTACATGCGTTTGAAGTTGAGATCTGCCTTCCATTTTTAACAGGGCC